ATCTTTTTCATAGTTATGTAGAACCCTGAGACCCTCTTCATTCACCCGCTACCCCCCAATCCCTCCAGACCCCCACTAATTGCTCCTTTAGCTCCTGTAAAATGCTTGGCTGCTGCTTTAGACATGCCTAGACATGGCCTGGCATGCCCTGACCCCTGCCTGCTATTCCCCCCAACTTCCAGGAAACTATAGATTAAGCATGCCCGGGCATGAAAACTGCCCTATAAGGTAAAAACAGAGACTCCTGGCCCCACAGATAACAGTCAGCATATTCCACAGCCCTGAGGATAGCACCTACCAATAAGAAACTTCCAGGGCCGCATCTTATACATCCAATCATTTTAAAATTATGTTTGCGCGCACGGGCTCCTTGAACCAACTAAAATGTATCTTTGGTATCTACCCCCCTTGTCTAAAACCTATATAAGGCTCCACTCTCCCTTACTCTTGGCTCTCAGGATGGATGCGTTGAGTTGGTGAGGTCTGCCCTTTAAGGTAAAAATGGAGACTCCTGGCCCCACAGATAACAGTCAGCACATTCCACAGCCCTGAGAATAGCACCTACCAATAAGAAACTTCCAGGGCTGCATCTTATACATCCAATCGGTTTAAAATTATGTTGGCGCATGCGGGCTCCTTGAACCAACCAAAATGTATCTTTGGTATCCACCTCCTCTCTTTGTCTAGAACCTATAAAAGGCTCCACTTTCCCTTACTCTGGGCTCTCAGCACGGATCCGTTGAGTTGGTGAGGTCTGAGGGCCCGAGCTTAAGCCCGAATAAACCATAAACCTTTGCTTTTGCATTTTGGTGTGCTGGGTCCTCGGTGGTCTTTTTGGGGTCCAGTGGATGAGGTTCAACAAGAGGACAACTTTGTGGAGTCAGTTCTCTCCTTTAACCATTAGGAGGGTTCCAGGGATCAATGCTATTATTAGGTTTAAGAGTAGGTACCTTCACCTGCTAAGCCATCTCACCAGCCCACTCTTAAGATTTTTATGTAAAAATAGAAATTAGATGTTGGAGAGATGGTTTAGCAGTTGAGAACACTGGTTGCTCTTTCAGAGAACCCAGGTTCAGTTCCAGCATCCACATGGTGGCTAACAATCATCTATAACTCTAGTGCAGGGGAGACTATGCCCCATTTTGGTCTCTGTGGCTACTGCATACACAAGTGCACTTACATACAGGCAAAACACGCATACACACACATAAAAACTAAATCAATCAAGGGCTGGAGAGATGGCTCAGCAGTTAAGATCACTGGCTGTTCTTGCAGAGGAGCCTTGTTCGATTCCTAACACCCACATGATAGCTAACAATCATTTGTAACTCTTCATCTGATGCCCTCTTCTGACCTCTGAAGCATTGCATGACATGGGTACGCTCACATACATGCAGGCAATACACTTATACACATAAAATAAAAATAATAAAAATCTTTTTAAAAATAATAAATAAATTAAAAAAATATAAATTAGCCAGGCATGGTGGCATACATCTTTAATCCCAGCACTCAGAAGGCAGACACAGATCTCTGTGAGATTGAGGCCAGCCTGGTCTATGTAGCAAGTTCCAGGCCAGCCAGAGCTATATAGTGAGATCCTGTCTTAAAAGATTAAAAAAACAACAACAACAACAACAGTAACAACAAAACCCAGATCTGGAGAGATAGTTCAGTAAAGTGCTTATCAAACTGAGTTCAATCCCCAGAACACATGCAAAAAAGCCAAACGTGGTGGAGTTTACTTGTAATCAACACTGGGGAGATGGAGACAGGCAGATCCCTGAGGCTCAATGACTAGCCAGTCTAGCCTAACTGGCAAGCCCCAGGCCGGTATGAGACCCTGTCTCAAAATACAAAGTGGACAGTATCTGAGAACAACACCCAAAATTGACCTCTGGCCTTTACAAGCACACACACACACACACACACACACACACACACGTAGGTAAGATAAATAAAGGAATAGAGAGATCTATGTATATGTGATAAATCAAGTCAACAAAACGTTCATGGGAGAATCTAGGTTGTAGGTACATGAGTGTTTGCTGTACAATTTTGCTTTATGTCTAAAATTTTTTGCAGTAGGCTAAAGAGAAAAAAGAAACAAACTGAGGCATCGGCCTAAGTTTAGGATCACAATGATGCTGCTTATCCTCTGATCCTACTCCAGAGCAAGCTGGGAAAACCTAACAATTTTCGGTCTGTTGCACTAGAGAAGCAGTGCTTAGGTGCTTACCTGGACCACTACAGCATGAGTAGATACAGGCAGAAGACACTAGAGGTTCCACTTGAGAAGTGTCACCTTCATAACATCGACATTGTCACAATTGTTCAGTAAAATCTCAGAAATTAGGTTCAAGGCTAAGAAATGGGCAGATGGTATACACTCACTCATGAACTCTGCTGTCACCATAGAGATCACTCAGGCCGAAGCTGATGTAGTGCCAGTGCTCAGGGATGTTGGCAGAAGGACTTCCCACATTCCTATACATGCTAACATAATCCAAGGGGTCTGGACCGCCCAACCTGCAAAAGACAAAACACAGAGGTGTCAATGTAAGCCTGGAAACCAGACATCAGGCTAAGAAGCTTTGCTCTGCAAACACCAAAGGCCTCATCCTAGAGGAACCTAAAGCAAAAGATAACTAAAGGGAGGTGATGTTTCTTTAGGGATGAGCCAAGGGATCAGCAGCTGAGACTGCAGGGTTTCACTGTTCAGGAAGCTCCCTTCTCTTACCTCCAACAGGCAGGGCCACTTTTAGAAATAAAGCAGACTTAGTAGTTACCCATTTTGCTTTCTCCTGTTTCAAATTGCTAACTCCAAATGGATTGGCAGGGATTACTCTTCTATGGTGCCTATCAACAGGCTTCAAGACAAAGAGATACATCCGTCAATCAATGGACTCTGTTGAATGACCATCTAGAGCATCCTCAACAGGCATCATTCCTAGAAGTACAGGCTCCATTCTACACCTGCCTCTTAAACAACTAGTTCCTGACAGACTATAATATGCCCTCTGTTGTTTCTTTTTTTTTTAATATTTTATTTTTATTTTATGTATATGAGTGTTATACCTGCATGTAGATAAGTGTACCCATGTCATGCAATGCCCACGGAGGACAAAAGAGGCTGTCAGATCCCCTGGAACTGGAGTTACGGATAGTTGTTAACTGCCCTGTGGGTGCTGGGGTTCAAAACTGGGTCTTCTGCAAGAATAGTCAGTGTTCTTAACCGCTGAGCCATCTTTCCAGCCCCTATTGTTTCTTCTAAACACACGGCAGACTCCTGTCTACACAGACTTGGCCTGAATGTCATAGACCAAAACTGGTCTTTTATCAAGGAAAGTAACAAAGGCCAAACTTCAGCTAGCTCAGCTCTACACAGAGCACTGCAACATAAACCAGGCTGAGCCCTGTGAGCACCTGCATTCGAAAGATGATTCCAGGACACTCTTATCTCAAAGGAAGCACTGGGATATTACATGACCTGAGGCCTTTAAGGACCACATTAAATTTCCCTCTAAATCCATCAGAGTAGTTGAGGAAGCTCTTTAGTCATTACCTCCCTAAAGATTTAATTCAATAAAAGATGCCTTTAGTAATTAGTGTTTTAAGAAAACACATCAAACAATTACAACAATAAAGGCCCACTTTCCTACAAAATGAATAGGAAAATGTAGTAGTCTTTAGAAACACAAAGCAGGAGAAGTCTGTACTGAGCCCACAAACTCCACTCTGAGCTGCCTCCCATGGACCACTCCACAGACTGTAGAACCTTTTCTTGCCTCTGAACATATGATAGAGTACACTCTCCAAGTGGGCTAGGTTGCTGAGGGAAAGCTAACGGCCAAATAAAAGACATGGTACAGGAGATCCCAACAAGTATGCCAGGACCATGCAATCCAAACCCTATTTTAAAACCAGTAAGTCTAGTTTTATCCTCTTTGCCAGGGTATTATTTGTCTTTGTAGAAATCCTTATTCTCTGCAAGGAAATGCTAAGTTATTTATAGTTCTATATAAGAAAGAAAGTTACTACAAATAGCTTAGAATCTCAAGGGACAAATTTCCATGTCTGTCCTTAACTGTGATTTCACTAAACCATCTAATTCCGTAACCAACTGACAGAAGAAAAGGACAGAGAGCTCTAGAAGGACCCCATTATGGCTACAAAACCCTAGCACAGATGGGGATAACTACAGGCCCCCTAACTTCCTTCTACAAACTCCTAACTCAGCCCCTGCTACAGTGTCCATCCAGCAACAAGCAGGGAAACTGTGCTCACTGTCCCTGCTCCACCTGCCAGACCACTGCAGCTCCTTCCAAACAAGTCTCCCAGGAGATGTCACATCATGGAAGGGCTTTATGAAGAGCTAGAGTGGTTAAGAGTCAAACAAAGTTAATCTCATCCCCAAGTTCAGGGGGTTCTGCTCTTCTAGTCACTCTCAGATGAGCCTGTGGAAAAGTATACTGTACACTTAGGAAAAGATAAGGCCCAGAGCATCCCTTATCTTAACTTCTTTAATACCTGACTTCTTTCTATACAGCAACCCTGCCAGACTAGAGTTGACCCAGGACACCAGGCTCTGCCTTTCTGCTTTGATCCTTGCTTGTGAAAATCTCTACTTTCAGCTAGAGTATCCCTGCTGGCCAGAGACTACTAGCTAAAAAGCCAGTCCTCTGCAGACCCAAGCAGCTTTGTCAGGCATCCTGTTATGAGAATCAGAGGGGGTGGTAAGACACTAAATGTAAGGGATATGAATAAATTTCAATGTCTTAATTTTGCAAACCCCTCCAAATCACAGGAAGAACCAGCCACTGAGCTAGCTATTCTCTTAGATTTTTCTGCATGTAGGTGGTATTTCTTATTTCACAAAGTGCTGTACAGTCCTCCTTATTTGTCACTGTATACTGGCCCATCTCTGAAGACACAGCCAGCAAAAGGCTTGTAGCAAGAAGAAAAAAAAAGCTGTAACTATTCTTGGTCCTTTGTATAATGCCTCTATACATTTAACATATAACTCTGTCCTTGATGACCATTTGGGTGGCATAAAAACAGTTGTCCAATTCTGTGCAAGGACTTCTTATCACACTTAAAACAAGACCTGAGCAAACAGCATGGCAAGGCCAGCCCCACTGTTCTCATGACATAAGACAAGTTCATCACAACGCAGTTAAATACTGAGGTGCAATTACAACATTGATTAAGTTAGCAAGAGCTGCCTTCTACTCAGAAGAGTTCTTTAAAACCTCTCTCAACCTGAGAACAGTTTGCCTGCCACAAAGGACTTCACTGTGAGCCATTCCTCCTGGTCACCAGGACAGAAGAGGCTAGTTCCCCATGCTTTCAGCTTTCTTTACATCCTCCTACTAATACCGTGAGCTAGCCTCAGTCCTGTTCAGTCTAGCAACTGCCATCCCTAACAGTAGTAAGAGGTTGTCATGGAGGAAAAAGACTCAGTTCTAAAGGGGGAGGAACCAGCAAAGATATCCACTTTCCTTTTGAGATCTTTTCAATATAGGCATGCTGCAGTTGCCCCAAGTAGTCATCCAGAATGTTCCGAAAGAAGTCATCTAATACAGTGCCTGCATGAATGTGGCTATTCCTTAGTCTATTTTTGGAAAGACCACAAGGACAGGTCCCCATAACACCTGTTTTGTTTGAAGGCATATGGACGAAAGAGGTTGCCAACAGTAATGGGGAAGGAGAAAAGGCATCTCTACTCCATGGGCAGTCCACTTGGAAATTGATCCTTTACTGAGCCATTTTAGAGTTACTGGGTCTTCCCAGAGAAACTGAAATCCTGAAGATGAAGACAGGAAGCTCTTCTTCCCGCTGCACTTCGTTCCTCCCTGTCCAGGGCTCAGGCCTCCATCATGCATTTCCCACAAGAAGTGGGAAGCTACAGTCCCTCACTTCCATCATGAGCCAAGGCACAGCTCTCCCTGAGTCTGCGCTTAACTAAAGCAAAGCAGCTGCAAAGCCAGAAGCAAGTTCTGCTCAAAGAACTGCGTGTGCAGAGTAAGCAAAAAGTTTATCTGGAAGAGTTGCTCTGTCAAACTTCAAAAGCAGCAGCTTCACCCTGACTGACAGAGCTCCTGAACTCATCGGGAAGGCACCTAAAGGAGGCCTAGTCCTCAATCCTTCCCAAGCACAATGCCCGCATCTTGCTCCCTCCTCACCCATACAAGAGCCCCGGCCTCGGACCGTCCTAGCCTATGCCTTCCCGTGCCCTCCTCCTCCTTCTGCTCCTGCAAAGCCCTCTCATATGCTCCCGAGGCTCCGCCTCACCTCCCCCATTCCAGTTCAGCCGCCCCTTGGCTTCCCCTAGTCCACTAATGACCCCCTACAGGCGCCCCCTCCTTTCTACTCCTTTACAGTCTCTCATACCGTCCCCAACTCCTGCGTACACCCCCCGTTCTCACTCAATTCTCCTAATCCCGGCTAACCCCTCACTACTCACCGGATCCGTTAACCCCTTTGTCCCCATTCCCAACTTCTGTCCTAACTCCTTCCCCAGCAGCAGGAAGCCCCTCGCTCCCAAGAACTTCAAGCATTTTCTTTCTCCTCCCCCTCCCGCAAACTACTCGGTTCCAGCGTTCCAAGCTTTCCTGGCCAGCCCCTGACCTCCCCAGGCCCAGAGCATACCAGTACTTGACGATAGCGGTAACCTGGAGCGGGTTCGGCTGGTCGGGATAGAGGCGGCGGCACTCTCCGTAGATGGCGTGCAGACCCGGGGGAAAGAGTGAGGCAAAGGCCGGAGGGGCACTGGGAGCAGGGGCCGGGGGCGCGGCGGGGCCGGGGGCGACGCTAGGCCGCAGCTCCGCCATCCCGGCGCGTAGGGCGCAGGGGCACCCGGGAGGGTAGAGGAGGAAAGTGCACCGATGGGCCAGCGGACGGACTGTGGGTGCGACCCCCCGAGGCTATGAGGGGGCTGCAGCGAGGTCTAGGTCCGCGCCTGCGCACCCGGCTCTGTCCGACGGAGCCGACGCCGCGGCGGAGTCAGCCAGAGGGTGCAGCGGGACCGCGGGGAGCCCCAGGGGGCGGGGCGCGGTGTGCCCTCTGCTGACATCCATTGGTTGGTGTCATTGCCAGTCATAAGTGGAGAAGGCGTGACTTGACAATAGGCCCCGCCTCCCTCTCCTGTGCTGGGAGTGTCCCAAGGATCTTGGTCTCCCCCTAGCGTTAGGAGGAACCCAGTTTTAAATAGGGGCGTGGCAGCTTTCTAAAGGTGCTAGGGACCCACGAAAGCACTGCTAAGTGCTTGACTTTGTTTTGCTGACACTCTAACAACGACTTTAATACAATCTGACAAAGGATTGGCCCATTCACTTGTGTGTCATCAGTTTTATATACTACAGCTCTTTTAATATTTCTTGGTATTATTGACTAAAGGGTCCCTGCAACTTGGCGAGGCAGGGAAATAAACACTCCAGGGGAAAGTGCCAGGCTGTTTTGAAAGCATCTACATATACCTTCTTTTCACCTGCATATTCTCACCTATCAAGGTCGAGCTCCTCTTGAATTTAGAGATGCTAAAGCAGTTCCTCATGCCTTTAATGATCAAAGATCACCTAGATCTATAGCTCTGAATGCTAATCTTCAGACAACTTCACCTGTTAAATTTATGGCTATTCAGGGGCAAAAAATGTGAAAAGCAATGTCTGTATAGTTTTTTCCTCAATCTAAATTTATATCATTTGAATGCTTTCCCTTTGTTTTAGGAATACGTCCTTCCTCTGTGTGTGTGTGTATATATGAGTGTGTGTGTGTGTGTGTGTGTGTATGCACGTGTGTGTGTCTGATAAAATTTCTTTCAACACCGGGCGTGGTGCCGCATGCCTTTAATCCCAGCCCTCAGAAGACGAGGCAGGGGAACTCTGTGAAATCGAGGCCAGCCTGATCTACACAGTGAGTGACAAGCGGGTTGGGATTAGGGAGACCCTGTCAAAAAATAAAAATAAGGGGCTGGAGAGACGGCTCAGTGGTTAAGAACACTGAATGTTCTTGCAGACGACCCAGGTTCAGATCCCAGCACTCAAGTGGCAGCTAACAACTGTTTGTAACTCCAGTTCTAAGGAATCCGGCGCCCTCTTCTGACCTCCGCGGGCATTGCACGACATGGGTGCACTTCCATACATGCAAGCAATACACACACATAAAATAATAAAATATTTTTTCATTAAAATAAATAAAAATTCGTTTCTATTAGGATGTGAGGCACTAGGAGATGTTTAATTCATTTCTTTTTGAGCATCTAACCCAGGGTCGTGCATGCTGGGCAAACATTCTAACCACTGAGTAATTCTCTCTGTCCTGGAGATTTTTATTGATGTTTTATAGAACTCAGATAGTGGCTGAAGAGATGGTTCAATGGTTAAGAGCACAGACTGCTCTTACAGAGGACCTAGGTTTGATTCCCAGCACCTACATGGCACCTAACAATCGTCCATTACTCTAGTTCTAAGGAATCCAACGCCTTCTTCTGACCTCTGTGGGCATTACACGACACGGTGCTCTTACACACATGTAGGCAATACACTCGCACAAAATAAAAATGAAAAATAATAAATAAAAAAATTTTAAAGTCGGGCGTGGTGATCCACGCCTTTAATCTCAGCACTTGGGAGGCAGAGGCAGAGGAAAGCAGATCTCTGTGAGTTCAAGGCCAGCCTGGTCTACATAGTGAGTTCCAGAACAGCTGGGACTACAGGGAGACCCTGTCTCAAAAAGACCCCCCCCAAATTATTTATTTATATATTTATTCATTTATTTAATGTGTATTCATGTACTACCTGCATGTAGTAAGTGCACCCGTGTCTTGCAATACCCGCGGAGGTCAGAAGAGGCTGTCTGATCCCTTAGGACTGGAGTTAGCCATCACGTGTGGTTCAAATCCCAACACCCACGTGATGGCTAACAACCACCTGTAACTCCAGTTCCAGGGGCTCCAACCCCGTCTTCTGACTTCCGCAGGCATTGTACGACTCGGTGCACTTACATGCATGCATGCAATACACTCATACACATAAAATAAAAATAACAATAAATATGGAAATTTTATATTGCCCAAGTGAAGGAATAGAGGAGTGGCAGGACTAACCTGTAAAATTCAAACACCTGCTAACTACTGACAAATTCAAACCCAATTACACACAAGTACTCCCAAAGACTCCCAAACCTAAGCACGCATTGTGAACCCCTTCCAAAGGACTACAAATCCAAGTAAGCAATACAATCATGACTTTGCTGCGCTTTAATCTGTGCAGACTACAAATCCCACAGTACCAGGCGCCGGAAATACAACGACCAATCTCTTAAACCAGGCGGGACTCCGAGCTGTCTGGAGCGCTAACTCTGAGGCAAGGCATGCTGGGGATTGTAGTTCTTCTGAGGTGCGGTCGGGCCGTTCCCCGGACACTCAGTGCCGGCGACTAGACTGCGCATGCGTGTCAGTGGCTTTAGCAGCGGACCCGGCTGGCAGTTCCTTCCTTGGAAGGAGAGAGTCTTCTGCCATGGAGTCCTACGATGTGATCGCCAACCAGCCTGTCGTGATCGACAATGTGAGTAGCGTCTTTCATATCTCTAAAGGGACTGCGCTCTCCTCCAGAAAGGATCGTTTCCCGGGTTTCAGTCTAGGCCGCCGGCTCTTTGTCACTGGCCCGGCCTGTCAGGCGGGTTCAGCAGCCGCCGCCTCCGTCCTCCCCTCATCCAGAGCTTGCAGGCGGGGCGGCCAGCCCGCATCCGTGGGATGGAGAGCATGGGGATGGACAAAGAGAAGACTTATAGTGTGAACGCGGTTCTTGCACCCTTGGCTGGAAGGGCCTTAACCGTGCTCTGAGATCCCGGCACCCGCCCCCTCCCCAGTTTTCCCTCACTCTATTAGTTATTCTTGCTGTCCATCTTGGCCCATTGGTCCCGCCTCTGGGCCGTGCCGGATTAGGACAGCACTCCTCAGTTATTGGCTGGCGCGAGTGTCGTTATTCCGGCCGCCATAGTGTTGCTTCTGTACAAGGGACGGGGCGGGGCTCTGGAGCTGTAGGGATTGGCTTCCGGGACTCCCGGATGGGTGCGGGACGCGAGAGCCGGTCCGCGGGTGGGGAAGGGCAGTTTCCGTGGGTACGCGTGGGAGGGGCGTAGTGGAGTGTATCTGGGTGGGGCCGGATCATCTGGTGCCAGAATCGGCCATAGGATTTCAGTTGCTTCTGTGGTTACAAATTGTCGTGGATAAACGTCCAAAAGAAAGGAGTGACAAAGCAGGCGAGAAGGTGCTTTATGGGGGGCGCGGAGATTACCACCGTATTTGCCGGGTTCTCTAGGCATTTCCAGGGCGCCTTGCGCCTACATGCTAGTTGAAGCCTCACAAAAAGTACAAATGATTACGAAAGAAGTTTGTTTCTCGTTTCACGGATGAGAACACGGAAGCTTGAAGCGATCAAGGTCATACCGCTGCGGTGCCCTATGAATTCAGCGCCTTAGCGAAATATCAATCCTTTTGCTAACATCACTCCACAAATGCATCAATAATGATACATAGAAAGAACCTAAATAAATTCTTCTTTTATAAGGTGGGACAGTTGTCTTCTGTGTCTGTATTCTATTCAAGGGCTGATCCCACCAAGACTGGTTAGAATCTTCCTGTGCTGTTTTTAGGTCCCTCCATTTAGGCAAACCTGCAGTCCCTTCTGTCCTAGGCTTGATTCTATCAGAGTCACTGTGTTGCTCCAGCCCTTAAGATTTGGGCGCACCACTAGGTTATTTGCATCCTCTTGCTTGTACTTTTGCTCTGGAAGGTTAGATGGGGTTTCTTTAGTTTATGCAGGAAGGTGAGCATTGAGAGATTTTTTTTTTCAGCCATCCAGTTGAGGAACCAAGACACAGGTATCTTTCCAAGTTCTTCAGTTTTTCAAGGAAAGATGCTTATTTGTTGTAAGCTGTCCTTTGTTGTAAACTGCTTTAAAAAAAAAAAAACTTCACTATTTTTACTTTATGTGATGAGTATTTTGCCTACGTGTATGTAAGTGCACCCATGTCATGCAGTGACCATGGAAGTCAGAAGAGGGCATCGAATCCCTTGGGAACTGGAGTTATGGACAGTTGTTAGCTGCCACGTGGGTGCTGGGAATCAAACCTAGGTCCTCTGCAAGAGCAGCCAGTGCTCTTAATCACTGAGCCATCTCTCCAGCCCCAGGGAGGAGTTTTAATTCAATGGGACACCTCATTTTGAGAGGTTTTTGTTTTGTTTTTTGGTCTTCCTCACTAGATAATTTAATTCTCCTGGGGAAAAACTGAAATTCCTTTACTTTTTACTAGTCTCTTTACCCACCCCACTCTATATAGTACCTAGGTCTTGGCACTAATTTCTTTCTCTTTTTTTTTTTTT